TTGCATGTCTCGCACCACCAAATATGAGTAATGATCTCTTTACCATTCAAGAGCTTAACTTTGGTTCCAGTTTTGATGACTCTTTTGTTGCAAGCTTTACAACCAAAATAATACCATGACCAATCCATATCAATGGCATCCACTGTGCAACTCACCAAGCATCTATCAACCTACAGATAAAATGCATTTATCAAAATCATCTCTTTAAATATATCAACAATGATGTAACTCGTAAATGACTCATAAAAACTCTTACTTGAGTTGATGTTATCATTTCGAAAATGCTCTTAGTGGGAAAGAGCAACCACTTATCACGATGTCCTCGAGTAAGTAACTGACCAACTTGGGTGTTGCTGTCCTCATGACTGTCCTGGTTACTCTGGATAGATGTTAGAGTTTTTTCAGACTCATTGATCCTGTTACAATTTCAAAGACAGTTATTTAACAGTAATATTAGTAGTCTCTGTGTATAAATAAGATAGAGAATACTAATTACAATTCCTTAAATGCTTCAGCTTCTTAAATGCTTCAGCTTCAGGTATTGGAGGGTTGATCATCATTTGAGAAGCATCAAATGCATTAGAGATCTGCAATTCTCCTATAAGATACAAAAAACGATACATCTAAATGAATCTTTTATGCAGAATTAGTTTGTATCAAAATGGACTGAGTGTAAATATGTACCTCTAAATTTACCAAGCTTAGCAAACCTCAGCAACATAGTAACCATTCCATCTTCTTGGTTAATTGAAGAATGGAGTTTCTCGGCCAAGTTACCCCAGATGCAGCAGGGTAAACGTGAATCACTACGAATATAAGTTAAGATATGGTCAGTGATATAATCTTGGTTAATGAGCACACCATAAGCGCTTTGACTTACTTTATGTCGGTTAGAGTTAACTCAAGCTTTTTTCGTTGCTTTCCTCCAGCACACTGAATGGTTTCGACTGGACCACAATCCATAACTTGTCCAAGNTATTAGAGCGCGTAACGGCCGTGTTCTGATTGAAAACCATCTTCCATGAATGATTTGTGGTTCGATAAGCTCCACCAGCAGGAGTAATCTGGAAATTCCGGAGGTAGCGCCATGCTCCAACTGTAAGAAGCCTTGTCTTACTTTCAATGTAAGTCCTTTTACATGTTGCATGGATTTTTTGCCCCTTAAACATGTAAAAAAAATATATAGAAACATCAAATAACACTCGAAACAATGATAAAGAATGGAATGATAAAAACAGGAAAAATAACTTACAGTCTCATCAGCGAAAACGAACTCCATGGTCTCCACGGATTGAATGTTTTGTTTCCAAGCATGTAGAACCTTTACATGAACCAACCATGTGGTTTTCCATGGTTTCAAGTCGTGTAAAAGGACCACTTTATCATTAGAACCTCTTGATGCTTGGATTTGCATTTTAGTAGCCATAGTTTTGTTTACTGGTTTGTTCGAAGGTGTGGGTTGGAACATGAACAGGGTGCTGTCTATTTATATATAAAGCAGATTTAAGCGACGTGGTTAGGTTTTAGTAGAAACTTGGGGACAAAGTTTGGGGATATTCTCTTTAGTATCGAATATTGATTAGGATTAGTATTTGGGAAATCCATAAATAAACTTGAACAGAATAGATTGTTAAACATATTGTCTTAATATCATGCCAATAAAGAATCTTCGAAAAAAACAAATACATTTAGAATCTCATGTTAACTACTTTATTAGACAAAAATAAATTGAGAGAAATTAATAAAAATAACACCAGAACTATCATATCATATATTACCAAAATCTTTAATGATAAAATAGAAAATCTCAATAATCTAATAAAAGCCACATAAAAACCGTTAATTTTGATGTTTTGATATCATATCCGCAAAGTAATTTTGGCGAGGACAAAATAGATGAATTCAAAATCTCGTATAAACTATTGAGATGTAAAACGAAGATAGCGAAAATGAAGAATAACAAAAACTTTACCAGTTAATAAGTGTCAATAATTATTTTATGTACATGTTTTAAAAAAGAAATCTCCTCATAATATATTTTAACCCTCCACCTCTTTATCAAGAGACCTTTATCGCTATACATTCAATGTATGAGCAAGTTTATCCCAACATGTAATGTGGTGAGGTTAGGCTCTGATATTAGTGTATAAACTTATAGACATTGCAACATTTGAAATATGATTGCTAGAAGATAAGGTAAAAAATCCAAGAAAACAAGCTAACTTACACCCAAAAAAACTGCAGCAGACCTAGATGATTTTCAGGAATGCTTCTGAATTTGAAACCATGATAAGAACATAAACAAATAATAAGTGTTGAGTTGATAAATTTTAGAAACATTCTATTGTTGTATGCTTCTTGGCATACCATACCAGCAGTATTAGGAATAAGTTAACTAGATTTAGTATTTTATGAAACTCTGAACTAAGTTATTGATATCAAAATTTAAGACGATATAAAAATTATCTTATAAAGTAAGTGATCATAATAAAAACAAAAAACAACAAGACATATATGGCATAACATGTTACGAATTCTTTTTTTTTGGCGTGATTATCTTAAACATAAAACAAAAAAACCCGTCAAACCTATTGTTTTAATACCATGCCAATAAAGAAATTTTGGTGCAAAAAATACATTTAGAATCTCATGTTAATTACTTTATTAGACAAACGAAAAGAAATTAAGAAAATGACACCACAACTATCAAAAACCTTAATGATAAAATAGAAAGTCTTGATAATCTAATAAAATATTTAAAACACATAAAAACCGTTAACCTTACTGTTCTGATACCATATTCAAAAAGTAATTTTGGCGCGAACAAAATTGATAATTCAAAATCTCGTATGAATTGATGAGACAAAAACGAAGATATCGAAAATGAAGAAAAACTAAAAAAAATGGCAGTCTAATATATTGCTTTTATCCATCTATCTACAGTGTTTCAAAAAAAAAGAAAAAAAAAATCCATCTATCTACCACTGAAAAAGAATTTGATGCTAAAGAAATGACTAGGCCTGGGCATCCGGGTCCTCGGGTCGGGTTCGGGTCGGTTCCTATCGGGTCCGGGTCTTCCGGGTCTTGGAAATTTAGACCCATATGGTACCTATGATTTTTCGGGTCGGTTCCGGGTCGGGTCTTGCCGGGTCCGGGTCGGTTCGGATCTATAATTCCAATACCTGTAAAATACCCGTAATTTTCGGATCCATATCGGATCTGGATCGGGTCCGGATTGGGTCCGGGTATTTAGAATCTAAAAAATACACTACAAGCCCAAACTCACTCAAATTTCAGCCAATATTTTTCATATATATCTAAATTTTTATAAAATAACATAAATTAAACTATTAATAGTTAAAGAAAACATTTTTAAACTCTAAATTTTACATTTTAACACTTTATCTTACTTAAAAATGTTACAAATAATAATAAATATTGTTAACAAAAGATATTTCAACTAAATTATAAAATAATATAGATATATAAAACATAACACAAAATAATAGTTTTGGATATACATGTTTATAAGTCGGGTACAAATCGGTTCTTATCGGGTCGGGTCTATTCGGGTCGGTTCTTTTCGGGTCCGGGTCTATTCGGGTCGGTTCTTTTCGGGTCCGGGTCTATTCGGGTAAAAGAAATTTAGACCCAATAGATATTTGTAAATTTTCGGGTCGGGTTCGGGTAGGTTTTTTCTGGTCGGTTCCGGTTCGGTTCTTCGGGTCCGGGTAAAATGCCCAGGCCTAGAAATGACGGTCTCTATAATCCAATAAAAACAAATTCAAACACACAAAAGTGAAAACCATGAAACACACACACATTACTTAAAAAACCTACCGAAGCCAAAAAAAAACATAAACAAGGAGGTGCCCGTGTCATCGCCGGCGCTCAGATAATCAGCTAAAACAAACACGTGTTAATATCTTAGAGGTTATTAAGTTTGCCCTTTCTCGTGCTCCTTCCCCCATCGGATTCCTTCTCTCTCTCTCTCTCTCACATCTGCGGACTCATCCTCCTCTTATTAAAATCTGCTTAATTCTTTTAGTGTCCGCTCTCTCTCTCTCTTTGTCACATCTCTCTCTCTTTCTCAGTTCTTCAGGGCAAGTCAAATTCTTGTTATGGACGGAGGTGGCGACGGTGGTGCCGCGTACAACCCACGCACGGTGGAGGAGGTTTTTAGGGATTTTAAAGGTCGTAGGAATGGCATGATTAAGGCTTTAACCACTGGTAAATATTTGCTCTTAATTTTGTTTCTTACTTCATTGTTGTCAAAATCTTAACTTTTTGATTTTTCCTTTTTTTGCAGATGTTGAGAATTTTTACCGACTTTGTGATCCTGGTGAGTGTTTTACTCTTCATAGATTTGTTTGTTGGATTGAAGAAAGTCACTGTTTTTATTTTTGTTTGAATTGTTTTACTTGTGGTGCTCTGTTTCGAGCTGAGTGTTGAGTAAAGTTTTGTTTTTTATTTGTGGGATTGGTTTCTGCTGACTAAAGTCTTTGTCTTTTTTTTTGTTTGAATTGTCTTCGTTGTGCTTAGTTTTGAGCTCTTTTCTTCTCTGTTTTTTCTTTGAATCTGTTAGATTTTTTTCTTGAAAGCAGAGTAAAGTTTTGATTGTTGAGTAATGGTTATCAAATCTTTTGTGTGAATTCTCGTTTAGTTTTAGCATTGTGGTTTTGATGGCACGAGAATGTGAGTTGTATGAATAGTATATAACTTCAGGGGAAAGAGAGAACAGATTTGGGGACTTTGGGAGATGTGAGAGTGCTATTTGTTTCTGTGTGTTCTTCGTGTTGGTTTTTGTATTTTAATTGATGATTTGAAGTGAAGAAGGAAACAGTTTGTGATTATCTTCCTCACAGTTTAGAGTCTCTGAACATAACAGCTTTGACACTGTAACTAAAGTCACGGTTTGCGTTGCTTTCCTTGCTTAGCTGTATTGATGAATTGAATGAGTCAGAGAATCATTGTCTCTTTGTTTTTTAGTATCATTTGTCTTAGCGTTTTTAGTGCTCTTTCCATTAAGAGATTTTTAACTTGTGACATAATGGATGTTTGAAAGTTGATCTGCTTACTTAAGGCATGGTCTTTTCTGATTAGTTCATATCTTAATAGGGGCTTTTGGTTTGGAGAGTTTTGGCTGATTTTATGTAATCTGAACATGCTATGTTTTTATCCTGATATTCCTCATTTTTCCTCTTTTGATTGTAGAAAAGGAGAACTTGTGCCTTTATGGGAACCCGAATGAGCAATGGGAAGTGAATCTACCAGCTGAAGAGGTTCCCCCGGAGCTCCCAGAGCCTGTCTTGGGTATCAACTTTGCCAGAGACGGGATGATGGAAAAGGATTGGTTGTCCCTTG